AGACGGGTAGGGCTTTTTTTCCGGCATCAAGGCCACTCGAGGCAGCTGAGGGAGCTGCCAGGACCCGGTAGCCCTCGTGAGGGAGGCTGACGAGGCGTAGGCGGAGCCAGCAGCGCCCTCTCCCCTGACATTCAAAGGCAGCCCCTAGGGAGCACAGCGATTAGGACGGGCAGTCAGGGTGTGGCGCGGCAGTTCGCATGGGCAGGGAGATTTCGGAGATGGCAGAGCATCCCTCCCCACTCAGAACAGCTCGTCTACCGGCTGTCTACCTATAGCTAGACTGCCATGGTCTGCGCTAGGCAGAAAGCTCTTTCTAGAAAGTCTGTGGTGACCCAGACAGAGTGCCTGCTCAAAAGTGTGGCAGTTCAGGTCTCTGGATGCACGGAGTGCCTGAGCCTGTTGCTGCCATCTGAGGGTGGCAGAGAGACTGTGTGTGTGAGGTATGAGAAGTTGGATGACCTGGTCAGCCTGGTGGCAGAGCTCAAGGAGGAGGTGGAGAGATTAAGGACCATCAGGGAGTGTGAGCAGGAGATAGACTGGTGGAGCAACTCCCTGCTAGGCCTGAAGGAAAGGCGCCAGGGTGAGACACCCCAAACAATGGTAGACCCTCTGCCCTGTTGCTGTTGGACAGAGGGAGGGGACCTAGGAGATAAAGAGGAATAGAAACAGGTCCCTGCTTGGTGTCACAGGCAACCCCCCCCTACCAGCCTCGCCTTCCCAGGTGCCCTTACACAACAGGTTTGAGGCCTTGGAGCTTAAGAGACTGGTGGGTGAAGATGAGGTCGAAAGTCCATCCAGGAGGATGCCTAGGGCAAGGAAGTTGACTCCACGCCTCAAGACTGTCTCCACTAAGAAAGAAAGAAGGGTAATTGTTGTAGGCAACTCCCTTCTCAGGGGAACAGAGGGCCCTAATTGTCGGCCTGACCCTACCAGTAGGGAAGTGTGCTGCCTCCCTGGGGCCCAGGTCGGGGACATTGCCAGAAACCTTCCTAACCTGATTCACCCCTCTGATTGCTATCCTCTATTGATAATCCAGGCTGGTGGCGATTAAATTGTTGAGAGAAGCCTGAAGGCTATCAAACAGGACTTTAGAGGACTGGGACGATTAGTAGATGGAGCGGGAGTGCAGGTGATGTTTTCTTCCATCCCTACAGTGGCAGGGAGGGGTACAGAAAGGATATGGAAAGCCCACCTGATAAACACGTGCCTCAGAGGCTGGTGCCAATGCAGAAATTTTGTGGTTTTTGACCGCGGGGCACTTTACTCAGCACCCGGCCTGATAGCTGCAGACGGGGTGTGTTGCCAGGGCCCTTCCAGTCACTGTTCAGGGTCTGGCTAGATATGGGTACTAGCCCAGGGGCAGGCAGGGTTCATTGAGAGGGCTTTAAACTAGGTAAGTAGGGGGCAGGGATGAAATAAGGCTTGTTAGTGGTGTTCCAGGGGCATCCACGTCAGTGCTGGGGGAGAAGGCAATGGTCCAACTGAAGTGCATCTATGCTAATGCATGCAGCATGGGTGACAAACAGGAGGAGCTGGAAGCCATCGTGCAGCAGACAGGCTATGACTTGGTTGCCATCACAGAAACGTGTTGGGACCATTCCCACGACTGGAGTGCTGCAATGACTGGCTATGGGCTCTTCAGAAGGTGACAGGCAGCACAGAAAGGGTGGTGGTGTGGCTCTCTGTATTAGAGAGTTTTTTGATGTTGTGGAACTTGAGTCTGGGAATGATAAGGTTGAGTCCCTATGGGTTAGGATCAGTGGGAAGGCCAACAAGGCAAGCATCCTGGTGGGGGTCTGTTATAGTCCACCGAACCAGGATGAGGAGACGGATGAGGCATTCTACAAGCAGCTGACAGAAGTCATGCAATCACCAGCACTTGTTCTCATGGGGGACTTCAACTTCCCAGACATATCCTGGAAATACAATACAGCTCAGAGGAAGCAGTCTAGGAGGTTTCTGGAGAGTGTGGAAGATAGCTTCCTGACGCAGCTGGTTAGTGAGCCTACCCGGGGAGGTGCCCCGCTAGACCTTCTGTTCACAGAGAAGGACTGGTGGGAGATGTGGTGGTTGGGAGCTTTCTTGGGCAGAGTGACCACAAAATGGTAGAGGTCTCTATTCTTGGCGAAGTCAGGAGGAGGATCAGTAAAACTGCTACCTTTGATTTCTGGAGGGCAGACTTTGAGCTGTTCAGGACACTGGTTGACAGAGTCCCTTAGGAGGCGGTTCTGAAGGGCAGAGGAGTCCAGGAAGGCTGGGCATTCTTCAAGAAGGAAATCTTAAAGGCTCAGGAGCAGTCTGTCCTCACATGCCCAAAGACAAGCCAGCGCCGAAGAAGACTGGCCTGGCTGAACAGACAGTTGTGGCTAGAGCTTAGGAGAAAAGAGGGTTTATGAACTTTGGAAAATAGGGCAGGCCACTTAGGAGGACTGTAATGATGTTGTAAGGCTGTGCAGGGACAAAATTAGAAAGGCCAAAGCTCATCTGGAGCTCAATCTGGCCACTGCTGTTAAAGATAACAAAAAATGTGTTTTATAAACACGAAAAGGAGGACTAAGGAGAACCTCCATCCTTTACTGGATGCAGGGGGAAACTTAGTGACAAGAGATGAGGAAAAGGCTGAGGTGCTTAACGTTTTCCTTTCCTCAGTCTTTAGCGGCAAGACCAGTTGTTCTCTGGATACCCAGTACCCTGAGCTGGTGGAAGGGGAGCAGGATGTGGCCCTCATAATCCATGAGGAAATGGTTGTCAACCTGATACAGCACTTAGATGTATGGAAGTCAAGGGGGCCGGATGGGATCCACCCAAGGGTACTGAGAGAACTGGCAGAGGAGCTGGCCAAGCCACTTTCCATCATTTATCAGCAGTCCTGGCTATCGGGGGAGGTCCCAGTTGACTGGTGGCTAGCAAACGTGACGCCCATCTACAAGAAGGGTTAGAGGGTAGACCCAGGGAGCTATAGGCCTGTCAGTTTGACCTCAGTGCCAGGGAAGCACATGGAGCAGATTGTCTTGAGTGTCATCTTGCAGCACTTACAGGGCAACCAGGTGATCAGGCCCAGTCAGCATGGGTTTATGAAAGGCAGGTCCTGCTTGACGAACCTGATCTCCTTCTATGACAAAGTGGCGCGCTTAGTGGATGAGGGAAAGGCTGTGGATGTGGTCTACCTTGACTTCAGTAAGGATTTTGACACTGTTTCCCACAGCATTCTCCTCAAGAAACTGGCTGCTCGTGGCTTGGACTGGCATACGCTTCGTTGGGTTAAAAACTGGCTGGATAGCCGGGCCCAAAGAGTTGTGGTGAATGGAGTCAAATCCAGTTGGAGGCCGGTCACTAGTGGAGTCCCCTAGGGCTCAGTACTGGGGCCAGTTCTCTTTAATATCTTTATCGATGATCTGGATGAGGGGATCGAGTGCACCCTCAGTAAGTTTGCAGATGACACCGAGCTAGGTGCGTGTCTGTCTGCTTGAGGGTAGGAAGGCTCTGCAGGAGGATCTGGATAGGCTGGACCGATGGGCTGAGGTCAACTGCATGAAGTTCAACAAGGCCAAGTGGCCGGGTCCTGCACCTGGGGCGCAATAACCCCAAGCAGAGCTACAGGCTGGGAGATGAGTGGTTAGAAAGCTGCCATGCAGAGAAGGACCTGGGAATACTGGTGGATAGTCAGCTGAATATGAGCCAGCAGTGTGCTCAGGTGGCCAAGAAGGCCAACAGCATCCTGTCTTGTATCAGAAGCAGCGTGGCCAGCAGGTCTAGATTGTCCCCCTGTACTCGGCTCTGGTGAGGCCGCATCTCGAGTACTGTGTTCGGTTTTGGGCCCCTCGCTACAAGAAGGACATGGAGGTGCTCAAGCGAGTCCAGAGAAGGGCGACAAAGCTGGCGAAGGGGCCTGGAGAACAAGTCTTATGAGGAGCAGCTGAGGGAGCTGGGTTTGTTCAGCCTGGAGAAGAGGAGGCTCAGGGGTGACCTTATTGCTCTCTACAGGTACCTTAAAGGAGGCTGTAGCGAGGTGGGGGTTGGCCTGTTCTCCCACGTGCTTGGTGACAGGACGAGTGGGGGAATGGGCTAAAGTTGCGCCAGGGGTGTTTTAGGTTAGATATTAGGAAGAACTTCTTTACTGGGAGGGTTGTTAGGCATTGGAATGGGCTTCCCAGGGAAGTGGTGGAGTCACCATCCCTGGAGGTCTTTAAAAGATGTTTAGATGTAGAGCTTAGTGATATGGTTTATTGGAGGACTTGTTAGTGTTAGGTCAGAGGTTGGACTAGGTGACCTTGGAGGTCTCTTCCAACCTAGATGATTCTATGATTCTCCAACCTCTTTTGTTCTGTGTTATTTTCCCAACCTATTTCTTTTTTTGTTCCTCAGGTTGGTTGTCACAGTCAACACTGCTCACTGTGCATCTTCAAGTTGCTTTTTTAATCTTAAGTTTACCAAATTTTTCCTCCACATTTAGGAGTCATGCACTGGATCACCTTTAGAGTACAGGAAAAAAATGTTCCTTGATTGTATCTTTGGTACTTAGCTGGCCCAAGCTTTGCATTTGCAGGAATGTGCCTGTTCAGGTCTGAATTTGTGAATAAAGGTGCATTCTGTGCATTGTTACAATTAAAATCGTCATTTAGCAGTTTTAAAGCCTAAATCTTTTCTGATTCTGTCTGGGCTGTAAATTTTCAAAGACCATTAAGTTGGAAAAAACTTGTACTTTTACAAGGTTGGCAGCCTCTTAAGCAGAAGTTTAATCTACCTGTCTTTTGAGTCTGTGTCCCAGGGCTTCCAAAGAGAAGATCACAAATTTTTACTATAGGAACTACCAGACCATGTGGTACAACGTGAGACAGAAATAATGAAATACACCTATAGCTATAACTTAACAGAGTAACAAGCTCTGGATTCTACAATGGGAAGACAAGAATAGTCTTTGTGACAGTAGTCCTTCTTATATGTAATGTGCAGGAATGACAGATTTACTGAGATTGTGATTTATTATTTTAATGTTACAGGTTCATGAAAGCTTTAAGTTATGCTTCGTTAGACAAAGAAGATCTATTAAGTCCTATTAACCAAAACACACTTCAGCGTTCCTCCTCTGTTCGCTCTATGGTTTCTAATGCTACATACGGTAGCTTTGATGATTACATTGGCCTTGCTCTCCCAGTGGATATCAATGAAATATTTCAGGTATGTATGAGTTAACTTAATGGGTTCATTTGCACTTTCTTACTGAAAGGTAGTGGATTGTTGCATTTTCATCAGAATAGATTGGATCTACAGAAAGGAAGAAAACAGGATGTGGTACTTTCAAGGAATACATTTTGGAGAACAAGAATTTCTTTTCTAATTGTGTTAACAGAAAAGTGCTGGTCTGTTTTGTATTATTAGGCAAATAATGACACAGAATAGGTTAAAGTGTTAAACAATGGCAGCATAAATATGCTGTTGTGATATTTTAGTTGACAGCTAGTTTTTATACTAAAATTAACATAGTATATGGACATTTGTTAATATCTCTAGCCAACTTGTTGATCATTAGTCAACCATAAATGATGTGCATAATCCTACAGTAAACTTTCTGCTCCTGTGATCTTAATATTACTTTATTTGTATTTATATCATCATAGCATTACATTGTATTGTCTTTACTTAACTTCACAGATACACATATTTTAATTTAGAACAGATTATCTCAGTTTCTTATCAGTTGCCTTCCTGTCTACTTAGTTAAAACACATGCCAGTCTAACAAACTGATACATCACAAGTTTTAATATTCTGTTACATAATTATTAAAGACAGAAGGGCATGGTCTATGTCAAAGGTAAATCAGCGGCTTCCTTATCTTTAGTATATTTTATCTTTGCCATTCAAACCTAAATTATTTTCTCACTAATCTCAAAAATTACTAAAGCTAGAATAAATGCAAGATCTTCCATCATACCAATTTCTGTTTTCCCTTTGTGAAATGACTACTTTCTTACTATCTTTCTTACTATCTTTCCTTCACAGTCTTTATGGCATGTTTATGTTGTCTCATTTCTTCTCTCTCAGCTCTACATGTCTCAACTCTACAACATCTTACAGGCAACATTTTAGATGTCCTGGGTGTTTTTTATTCTGCTCTCCTGAGATCTCCAGTGTTATAGAGAGATCATGGACAGATCATTAATAACAGCTTTTGGGTCACTGATTTTCTTACAGCCTGTCACCACTATGTTTTACCATTTACTGTCTGTTTATAAGTCTTGTTTAATAAAAGTTCATTCACAACTGTATGTTATTTTGTTGTTTGTTTTTTCCCCATTGGCTTTCCTTCAGTACTCAGGAGCCCATTCTTAATTTCCTCCTCCTCTAATTATATCTTTTTTCCTGAAGTTGTCCTCACAAAATCTGTTTTTCCTTTGGATATGGTTATCACCTGTGTGCTAATTTTGATTTTTCACTTGAATGTTCCAGATAAAGGAGACTCCATATTTCCAGAAGAAAACCACACCTCCATTTGATGACTGTGGATCTAGGGTTTTTGCATCTGATGCAGGAGGTATTGTTCTTGTTTCTCTTCTGTACCTTTCTGTTCTTTTATTTGTACATGTTGTTTGGGGTAGTGTGTTGGTTTGTTTGTTTATTTTTCTTTACAGAAAATGTAATTTTATATGTTAAGTTTTGAGAGCTGTTTTCTGGATTTTAGGATAGCAGACCATTGATTCCATTTTTTATGTAGTTCAAGATAATGCAGTGCTGTTTCAACATAAACTTGATCCAGCTCTAATAACCTAAGGAAGAATGCCTACATATCTTTGATTGCAGTATGAGCTAATGCTAATTGAAGACTGGTAGTGATATTGTATTAAAGAAAGAAACAAAATTTAAGCTAAGATTAAAAAAAAAAAAAAAAAAAAAAGCCACATTGTATCAGAAACAGTGTGACCAGCAGGGCTAGGGAGGTGATCGTCCCCCTGTACTCGGCTCTGGTGAGGCCGCACCTCGAGTACTGTGTTCAGTTTTGGGCCCCTCACTACAAGAAGGACATGGAGGTGCTTGAGCGGGTCCAGAGAAGGGCGACGAAGCTGGTGAGGGGCCTGGAGAACAAGTCCTACGAGGAGCGGCTGAAGGAGCTGGGTTTGTTCAGCCTGGAGAAGAGGAGGCTCAGGGGCGACCTTATTGCTCTCTACAGATACCTTAAAGGAGGCTGTAGTGAGGTGGGGGTTGGCCTGTTCTCCCATGTGCCTGGTGACAGGACGAGGGGGAATGGGCTAAAGTTGCGCCAGGGGAGTTTTAGGTTAGATGTTAGGAAGAACTTCTTTACTGAAAGGGTTGTTAGGCACTGGAACAGGCTGCCCAGGGAGGTGGTGGAGTCACCATCCCTGGAAGTCTTTAAAAGACATTTAGATGTAGAGCTTTGATACAAATTGAGCTGTTATATTTTGACTCTTATTTGATTACATGTGAATTTATAGGAACCAATAAATGTGTTGGGTGTGTATTTCAGAAAGTAAATTATAACTTTGTGATGTTTTCATGACAATTGATCAGAAGAGGTGATGGCATGTGGTATGAGAGAATTGCAAGTGCTCTGTAATGCCTGGCTTGTTCTGGAATGTTCTTCCTTTTTACAAAAGCAGAAACAGAAATCTGTAAGGCATCGATATGTGCCTCTTCAGTAGGGAAAACTAAAACTGAAACATTGATACTGGTCCTGAAATAGTACAGGATATCTGTTGTGTTACTTGTTAGTTAACTTGAATTTTATTATAAGCACTTAAGCATTCAAATAGACGCATCTTGCTTCTTTTTTTTTCTTTTGTGTTGTTAGTGTAATATATAAAACTGATTTTTCCTGAAAGTGTCTGTCTGTACTTTGTGAAGTTTCAGTGTCCTGGGTTTGGCTGGAACAGAGTTAATTTCCTTCCTAGTATCTGGTATAGTGCTGTGTTTTGGATTTTAGGATGAGAATAATATTGATAACACACTGATATCTTAGTTATTGCAGAGCAGTGCTTACACTAAGCCAAGCACTTTTCAGCTTCTCATATTGCCCTGCCAATGAGGAGGCTGGGGGTACACAAGGAGCTGGGAGGGGACAGAACCAGGACAGCTGACCCAAACTAGCCAAAGGGATATTCCTTACCATATGATGTCATGCTGAGCAATAAAACTGGGGGGAGTTTGATATCCTTTTGGTGCCCAATGTGGGGCACAATGGGTTGAGATAACAGTTCTGACCAGAGTGTTTCAAAAAAAAAAAAAAAAAAACAACAAAAAAAAACTTATAATCATTATACTTGTTTAATAGTTGTTGGACACAATATTGTTTTATTTGCTCTCAAGGTTGTTTTTCTTAAGCCCTTTCTTGTTATGTATAAACTCTGGGGGTTTGCCTAAATTTTGCTAATTTGGTTATAGCATGTTCTCATGTTACACCAATCGTGAACTTAATCTGGTATTTGTACTCAGTATTGCCATCATTTTTGCACTTCAGGAACGTTCTCTTGGAAACTATTAACATGTACACTCTTTGCTTTTTCTTCTCCAGTCTAGTTACAACAGCTCTTGAGAATTTTGAATACTCCTGGGATGTTAAAACTATCACAATCCTATTATTATGTCTCCTGCATGTGTTTCTGGTTTTGTCTAAGGTTAAACAACTATTTAAGAATACCACCCAGAGATCTGCCCTAAGGCAGGATGGTGATGGGTAGAAGGGAGTGTGGGGTGATATTGGCAGGTATCTGTTACGATTGTCACCTCTGATGGTTTTTGACTTCACCCCCTGAACAAGTATGAAATCATTTAAAAAAAAAAAAAATAAAAAAAAATAAATTAAAAAAGGTATGCCCCAACCCTGGCAATGCCAGAGATTTACAGCTTGCCACACTGTGCTGTGGTCTGGATTGCATCTATCAAACAAGAGTCAACAGTATTCAGTACCCTCAAGAAGAGAATGCTTCTGGATCTGATCCAACTCCTGCAACAGACACTGCAGCTGAACCAGAGAACCAACCTGTGCTGGTATCAATCACCCCTATAATCAAGAAAAAACTATGGTAGTGGAAGCCAGCTCATTCAGGAATAGAAGGAACTTATACTAGGAAAGGGAATAAGGAAGAAGTGGATGAGGCAGGCTACTCCAAAGTAGGGCCATCACGAGATCAGGAGGAGGAAGAAGCAGAAGTCATAAATGACACGGTATCCAAAGACATAGATGAAGTCAAGTACATGCGACCCATGCGGCAGAAGTCTGTACGGAGTGCACCATCATCATATAACAACTTATTGGCAGCAATGACCTAGAAAAATGTAGAGGGACAAACGGTGGCTGCATTGGCTGGCGTGCTCTATCACTATGAAGAAAGACTCTATTCTTCCTTACCAGCCTGCATCTCAGATGTGGAGAAACTGGTTCAGAAGCTTGAAGAGAGAGAATGTCTTTTTCTCCACCTATACAGACAAGTATCTTAGCTATTAGGAGTATGAGTTCTTCTGCTAAAGAGAGAGTATAGAGTGTGCATGCACAACATACCACCCTGTGGTTTTACCTGTGTGACCACGGGGAGGAAGTGGGATGGGAAATCTACCTCAACCTTTGAGGCAGAGAGGTACGTGAGTCAAAAGGAAAAACAATGAAAAAAGGGAGTTCTACCAAGAAAATAGCTGCTCCAGTTTCCAGTGGGGAGTTCCCCAGACAAAGTAGAAGGGTTGATCTTAACAACGGGACTTCTGATTTTTATTTACAAGAAGTGAGTAATGAATGCTATGACCAGGACTAGAGGGGCTCTTCCTCCAGTCAGGCAGAGGAAAAGGACAACTGGGTTTATTGGACTGTGTGGATTTGATGGCCTGGCACATCAGACCCACAGGAGTATACAGCTCTAGTGGACACTGGTGCAGAGTGTACTCTAATGCCATAAAACTATAAAGGGGCAGAACCCATCTGTATTTCTGGAGTGACAGGGGGATCACAACAAGTAACTGTATTGGAGGTCGAAGTGAGTCTAACTGGAAATGAGTGGCAAAAGCACCCCATGACTGCTGCCTAGAGGCTTCATGCATCCTTGACATAGACTACCTCAGGAGAGGGTACTTCAAGGACCCAAAAGGGTACCAGTGGGCTTTTATAGAATCATAGAATATCCTGAGTTGGAAGGGACCCTTAAGGATCATCAAGTCCAACTCTTGACACCGCACAGGTCTACCCAAAAGTTCAGACCATGTGACTAAGTGCACAGTCCAATCTCTTCTTAAATTCAGACAGGCTCGGTGCAGTGACCACTTCCCTGGGGAGCCTGTTCCAGTGTGCAACCACCCTCTCTGTGAAGAACCCCCTCCTGATGTCAAGCCTAAATTTCCACTGCCTCAGCTTAACCCCGTTCCTGCGGGTCCTGTCACTGGTAGTATAGCTGCCTTGGAAACGGAGGATATTTAAGTTGTCTACCTTGCCTGGTCTCTTCTCCAAGAACCCTGTTGTTATGGGGTTGCTGAGGGTCAAAGAACAGCATGTGCCAATCACTACCACAACAGTGCACCAGCAGCAATATTGCACCAACAGAATCAACTGGCTGATTCTTATCCATAAACTGGTTCCTCAACTGGAGAGCCAAGGAGTGATCAGCAAGACTTGCTCATCCTTTAGTAGACCCATATGGCCAGTGCAGAAGACTAATTGACAGTGGAGTATCGTGTCCTGAATGAAGTCTCACCACCGCTGAGTGCTGCTGTGCTGGACATGCTAGAACTTGAATATGAACTGGAGTCAAAGGCAGCCAAGTGGCATTCCACAATTGAAATCACTAATGCGTTGTTTCTCAGTCTCTTTGGCAGCAGAGTGCAGGACAGTTTGCTTTCACTTGGAGGGGCATCCAGTACACCTAGAATCGACAACCTTGGGGGGGGTCAGGGGGTGGGGAAACACAGCCCTACCCTTTGCTATGGACTGATCCAGACTGCCCTGGAACAGGGAGAAGCTCCTGAAAACTAGCACTACATTGATGACATCATTGTGTGGGACAACACAGCAGAAGACATTTTTGAGAAAGGGAAGAAAATAGTCCAAATTTTTCTGAAAGATGGTTTTGCCATAAAACAAAGTAAGGTCAAGGGACCTGCACAGGAGATCCAGTTTTAGGAATAAAATGGCAAGATGGTTGTCGTCAGATCCCAATGGATGTGATCAACAAAGTAACAGCTATGTCTCCACCAAATAGCAAAAAGGAAACAAAAAATTTCTCAGGCATTGTGGCTTTTTGGAGAATGCACATTCCAAATTACAGTTTGACAGCAAGCACTCTCCACCAAGTGACCTGGAAGAAGAACAATTTCAAATGGGGCCCTGAGCAATGACGAGCCTTTGAACAAATTAAACAGGGAATATCTCATACAGTAAGTAACCCTTGGGCCAGTACAGGATGGACAAGATGTAAAACATGCTCTACACTACAGCCAGGAGAATGGCCCCACTTGGAGCCTCTGGCAGAAAGCACTGGGGAGATCTGAGGTTGATATTGGCAGCATATGAAGGTGTTTGCACTGCTTTGGAAGTGGTTG